ATTTTCTTTTCTTTATATTTCTATACTAGCCGCCTATATATCATTATTATTCCGTCTTGGTTTTTGGGAGTTGCTGATTTTTGTTTGTTACAGCCGACTTGGTCCTACTAATTTTTTATTTGTAATTTTCTTTTTGTTCATCGCGTGTCTTATCCTCAGTGCAAAATACTTGATTAACCTCTCTGTCTTGAGAAGATGTACTAAATCGGTCGACATCGTCTTCCTTATAAGCCAGACTGAGCTGACTGCATACTTCAACTAAACGTCTAAAATAATATTTCCATTTTGAAGCATTACGGGGCTTGCTAGAATGTGCAACAGTAGTCAGTTTTCTGTACCTGACAGTATAATTAATCTATAAAGTGAGTAATTCAATTCGATGAATGTTAATGGTTTAGTAATCAAAATAAGTAACACAACGACAAGGGTAAATAATTGACATACTTAACGCTCTACTGTTTTTGACTCACGAAGAAACTAACTGGGTGAACTTCAATGTCCAGTCTCTTAATATTGAGACAAAATGGATGAGCTACCTGAACTTAGCAATACTTATAAGGCTCATTTGATAGGAATAGCTGAAACTTGGATATCTTCTCAGATCTCGGATCAGTAATTAGGAGTACCTGGGATGTCTTTGTTTCGCAACGACAGAAAATCAGGAATTGGGGGTGGAGTAGCCTTGTACATACGATTTTACTTAGTGGTACACCAAGTTCATAATCTCAAGTTTAACAATCTTGAGGATTCCATATGGTGTTCTGTAAGATTGTCTACTACTTCGAGGTGTCTAGTCGGAGCCATATGTAGGATGCCGACATCGAGTATGACAGTGTTGGGTCTTGCTGATTTGGACGCTATATTCGTTCCGACCCAACAGACAGTCGTATTCTGGAAGGTTGTCCCGCTCTACTCGTCTCGGTTTCACTCATATTCTGATTCTGGGGGAATTCAATCTTTCCAGAGTCACCTTGGCGTAGATGAAAACTCAACTGAAGCTCAGTTCTTCAACCACATTGAGGACTTGGGATTATACGAAAATGTAAAGTCGGCGACTCGTTGGAGAAACAGTCAGATACCATCGCGCTTTGACTGTGTATTTACAAACAAATAATTCCTAGTTGACAAACTCTCAATCCCTTCCCCCCTGGGAAAAAGCGATCATGCCGTTATAGCTTTCAGTTTCGTCGGCAGTACTGAGCTAAGATATCCCACCAGCAACTTGCGCTGGAATTTCAAACGGTTGAATGTTTCAGCTCTACAGGACTATCTACAGCAGGTGGATCGAGATGTTCGCCCTCAACTCGATGTGGATGCTTATTGTGACTTCTTACTGCACACGGTCATATATGCTACAGATCATTCAGTACTGATGAAAGCTTCATCTGCAGCTCCAAAGGACTTTCCGAAGTGAACCTGAGCGCTGACTTGGTGTTACGGAAACTGCAGCACTTAAGAATTGACAGTTCTACTGGACCGGATATGGTACATTCTGCCATACTGAGGGAAGCAGCCTCAATCCTGGCAACGCCGCTTAGCGTGATGTTCTCACACTCGCTAAGCCGAGGAAAATTACCGGAAAATCGGAAGCTGGCTCACATCGCACTAATTTTCAAAAGAGTTTGACGCAACGAACCTTCAAGTTACCGACCGGTGGCTCTTCTCTCAACACCTTAAAAATCATGGAGTCACTGATATGCGATGGTACAAATGACTATTTACTGTCCTTAAATTTCTTCTCACCCCAACAGCATGGTTTCAGGAAGGGTTACTCTTGTATTACCAACGTGCTGCCTGCGGTGAACAGATGGACAGGCGTCCTCGATCACAAGCGGAATGTTGATATCATCTTCCTAGATTTCTCGAAAGCTTTTGATAAGGTTAACCATACATGTCTTATCAATAAGCTCATACGATTGGGTATCAGACCACCTCTAATCGATTGGCTCACTTCATACCTGAAAAATCGACACTTTAAGGTCAGGCTTAATTTCAGTTCCTCTCGGGCTATGGAATGTCCTAGTGGGGTCCCTCAGGGCTCAGTACTAGGACCTCTTCTCTTTTTGATTTATACAAACGATCCTCCACAACAGGTAACGTCAGACTTATTACTTTTTGCCGACGACGTGAAACTTTGGAGAGAGATACGCAACCAAGACGATATACAGGCACTTGAGGAGGATCTGACTCGACTCCAAAGTTGGGCAGACGATAACGGACTTACCTTTAACACTTCAAAGTGTAAAGTAGTCCATCTGCGACATGTCGCAGACTACAGTTATAACTTAGGAAACTCCTATCTAGTAGTACTACAAGTCGAAAAAGATTTAGGAGTCCTGGTGCCCTACGATTTAAAGTCTGATGCTAACTGTGACAAAAATGCCTTCCGAGCAAACCTTGCACTGGTAACATTGAAGCGCATTTCGGTCAGTTTGACGGAAGAACTTTCCATATAATCTCCAATAGTTTTATCCGCTCCATTTAGAGTACGGAAACATAGTACTCCCTCCCTCACTTCAAAAGGACAAGGTCACTTTGGAGCGTATCCAACGGTGAGCCACGAAATCAGTTCGAGGACTTAAATTTAAACCTTACAAAGAGCGTCTCCATTCACTTAACCTTTACCCATTAGAGTATAGACGTCTTAGAAGTTATCTTCTGATGGCTTATAGTATCCTTAACACTTCTGAACATCCTCTCAAAAACCTACTTAAGCTTACTTGCAACACTAACCTAAGGGGTAACACCCAGAAGTTGGAGATACAACATAGCAGAACGGACTTAAGACACAACTTCTACTCCTTAAGAGTTGTCAAATGCTGGAATTCGCTGCCAGCCGAGCTAGTCCAAGCCACTTCCCAGGAGTCCTTTAAGAGGCAACTTGATCTATTCTTAAGGACTAAGGATAGTATCGCACTATGATTTATTAATTTCTTTTCCCCTTTTATTGTTAACTTACCTAGGTTCCTGCCTGGAGGATTTGGTGATCCCCTGCTACTAGACACGGAAGCCTGCAACTGTTTGACAGGCAATCTCAGCCATGAATTTGAATAAGATGACTGCATGGTCACTTCTCCCAGGTGGTGGGAGAAAAGCCACTTGACCAACGTCATCACCGTGTGTGAAAACTAAACCTAACAGAGAGGAAGAGTTTCTTAAGTCGTATCTTGTGGGATCTCTAATGTGTTGGATTAATGCTAATCTAATCTAGGTTTCTAACAGTTTGCAGTCGAACGACGATATTGATGACCCTACTTTTAAGTTAACTCAATTTATATGTGGTGCATTAAAGTCGCCTACTACAAGAGTTTTACCGTTGTTACGCCAGGACTTAAGTTTTCTTAGAAGAAAATCATCTACTACACATTTCGGACTGCAATATACTACAACTAATTCAATATCTTGCCTTCGGCATTTCAACTTACATCTCACCAGTTCACATGTCCCTGAAACATGTGCTGCTGTCTCAGCTAGTCTTATGGTTAGGGTACTTTTCGTGTACACAATAACCCCGCCTCCTCTACGGTTTAATCTGTCAGCCCTACTGGTTATGAAACCAGTCAACTGAATTTCACTATCTAATATTTCTGACGTCAACCAAATTTCCAAGACAGCAATAACGTCCGGTTTTTCTTTATCCACTACTGACTTGAGCTCCGCCATTTTATTAAGTAGGCTGCGAGAATTTGTGTAGCATACCTTAAAGTCTGTGGAAAGCTTTCTCCCCAGAGTGGCTTGGGGATCGTTTTCCTCCGAACTTTTACAATTTGAAAACCCTTAAGAACAAGGTTTCGTTCCCCGTTTTGGCGACGTTCATTTGTTTCCGCTTCTGCAGCTCGTCTTTTATTACGATCAGCTAGGCTGAGATCCTTAAGGGCGTATATTCCGGATCCTATCAGTTTACGTGAATTACTTAGAATTAGGTTCCTTTCTTCCACCGTGTTGAATGTAACCTTTAGGAGGCGGTTTTTTGGAGGACTTCCAGAATCCACCTTTTGTCGTATTCTATAAAGCTTACAAATACTGACTCCTGAAACTGTATCTGGGAGTAGTTTACTTAATGATGTTTTAATATGATTGAGATCCTGTTCAAATTTCGCCTTTGGTTCTTTATCTGAAGATTCTCTTATCTTATGAAAAATGACTGATCTCTCAGAGAGATCTGTCTTGTCACACAGTGAGGATTTTTCTTCTGATAACATCTCTTCCAATGCCTCGCTGACCAGCTGCGTTTAGCCCACAGCCTTTTTCTTCCCATTTCTTTTTCTCCTTACTGAAGTCCATTTGTCACCAGTCAGGACAGCCGCACCTGGACTACGTGGAACGGTGACAGTTTTATCCGGATCTTTTATTTCAACTTGAGGTTTATAACTGCCGATGTCAATATCAAGCGGCACTTCATTCCTCGTTGATTTCAACGGAGATTTCACGTTCCCGTCAACCACAGTCAGGTGTTTAACGGGTTCAGTAGCAGCACTTACTAAACTGACAAATACTTCTCCGTCAGTGCTCTTGTTATCAGTCCTTCCGCCATCGTTTTTCTTGCAGGCCAAAGCCAATAGGCCCATAGCCTCCTGAATTAGTATCTTTTTATCCGTACAGCAGAACATACAAAGCCAATGCGAGTTAGGCTTCGAGCATCTTTTGTAAGCCGTCGCACTTAGGCGTGTACACATTTTGTGGTACCACTTTTTACAATCGTCACATTGCATTCCCTCCTCCACTAGATCGAGACACCTTAGAGGACATAGCAGGCGAGTAGAAAAGCCAAGAACGAACAAAATGCCCGTGGCATACAGGTTTTCACACCGCGTCATCAATACTTGCAACCTGCTGCCTGAAGCAGTGATGTCCGCACCTCCAATTGACTCTTTCAAGAAGAGAATGGACACTCACAGAAGCATACTAGAAAAGGAATAACATAGGTCGTAGGCCTTCTGTCCTTACTACACAAATCTGAATCTGAACCATTTATACAGTTATTGACTATTGTATCGTATGTTGAAATTAAACTTTTGTTTTGTTACCGTGATGTTATTTTGTTAAAAATGTATGACAGACAAAAGCGAATTTTCACGTTTCAGGAGAAGACGGCAACTGATGAAAATTTGGGTCCAGGATCATATTATATTCAGGCTTCACTAACACCTGTGTGCGATGTTGGATATGCTCCGTTCGAGTCACTGACGGAAAGAAAATTAAATTTCAGCTTTTTAGGTGTTGAGGCATTCCCTTCACCAGCAGATTACTTTCCAAAACTACCTTCTGAAAAAGTCAAGGTAAAAATACACATGACCTGTTTTTCTTCGTTAGAAAACCGTAATCATATTTCATAAGATTCATTTAAAGTTTTGCACAAAGTAATTATGAAGAGTAATAAACAGCATACCATATATACTGACAGCTACTTTCATCATGATACATTTAAAGTTATTTATCAATATCTATATGAGTTTCTTGCGCTTGTTTACAATTCTGGTCTTATATTTTCCCTCAAAATTTCAAGTTATTTTGGAGAAATTCTCAAAACTCTTCGGGAGATATTGGGTTAAGGTCGAACTTTTTAAAAAGATTTAAAGATTGTTCAATATACGTACATCGTAAAGGTTGTGTGTTTGTGTTAACGTCTTTGAAACATGATTTTACATGGGATATGTATTCAAAAAATAACTTTTTATGTTAAAAATTTGTCTTGAAAGATTTTTAGAACTAAGAACTGAGAAAAAAAGCTTTTGAAACCTTACTACCATCGTTTTTCATCCTATATACTGAAAAACTGATCCAAACAAATTATAGTCTATCGACTCGCCTTATGTTCAGTTTGGTTACTCCTATTAATTTCTGTTGCACTTCAGTGTTATCGTATACTTGACAAACCCGGTTTTTAGAATGCAAAACTTATTTGCTTATTGCGGTTTTCAACAACTGTTTGATCGAAGTTATTTGTGTTTCACAATTGTAGTTTGCAAACTTTGAAATTTTAGAGAGTTTCATTTTGTAAATTGAAAAAAAACGTATAAGCGAGAGTTATTTGTCCTGTTAAAGCTTTTACATAAACTCCTTCAAGTAGATTACATTCAACACACCCATAAATTATTTTCTTTGCCTCTTTGGCAAATGTCCAATGGATAATAATACTGTTGGTTCGTCCGTGTATTTTAATGTGGAAAATTTTCGGCATATTCATTTGTCGAGAATCACACTGATGGATAAAGGGTTCTTTGGCGTACTTGTTTGTTTACTTTAAGCCTTAAGCATAGTAATCCAACAAATGTGCATAATAATCCAAAAACTTTCGGCTACTATTTGAAATGTCCTACAGTTATTCTTATCACCGGAGTATTTTTATACCACGGCTCTACAAAAGATGGCCGCTTGTTATTGCTTCCAAATAAAAAGAGCCATAAAGTAACTATAGCAATTTGAGTGGGAAACTCTGTGGTTAGATTTATAGCGTTTTAAATACTAAACTTAATTGATATTGTAGTCTACACTAGCGAAACTATTATTAAGAAGATTGCCCTTCACTTTTTAAAAGTATTATTCATCCAAATAATTTGAGTTACAAAAAGAGAAAAGGATTTACTTGTGTCGCAACTTTTAATTTTTGCTCCTCTTTATGGGAGTTTATCAACCAAGCTGGTCCTTAAAATGCCACCAAATGTGAGTTTGTATATCATCTGGCATATTTTTCAGATGATTATTATATGAATAAACTGACTCATAACTATGTTTATGAGATGTAGTGAATTATTTCTTTTGGGGTACTCACTTTTGAATAATGCAAACGATTACCAGTAAATGAATTATCAGTTTGTCAGGTAGTTTTATACAAGCTTAACAGCATAAAGACAACTTTGCATGACAAACTTGTGGTTTGGCACTGATTTTATTAACAGTATAAACATTGATGGAGTAAATAAAGATGAGCTACAAAGATAAAACATAATTATTATCAGCAAGTTTTCCTTAAGATTTTCGAATCATGAACTGACGTTATTTCACGTTTTATTGTGAGTTAATTTTTTAGTTGTATGTTTGAGTAAATGTTCATATATATAAGGCCTACTAGTGAGCATTAAATTGTGACATGGTGTTCTGATTATTGAGAAGGATACAGATTTTTGTCAAACCTCACATGATCGGATCTTCAAATATCAAATTTTTTGTTCAGAAATATTGAAAAATGTGGGCAGTAACAGTTATATTTAATTAGATCTAACTAGGTGGCTGAAAATGGTTTTGATGAATTGCAAATATGGAAACCATCAGTTTGGTTTTTAAAAGATTGAGTACCTGACTGATGGGTTAATAGAAGGCCAGGAAATAGTAAAACATCATAAATCTCTTATCATTGCTACTGTATAAATTTCTATATTCTTCGGAAGATGAGTTTGTGTCAGATTTGAAAAATGTTTAAATGTCCTGAGAATCATGAAGTAGGCTGTATGTAATAGATTATACGGAGCTGAATATTTCTTGTGACACTGTAGGGTTTACCTTTTACAAACTCTGGCGAGTCACTCTAAGGTTCTGATTTTGTTTTACAGATAATTGATTCTACGGAAGCACCTGAATTACAGAGCGTACAACTAATCTGAAGTATCGACTGGAAGTATCGAGTGCAACACAGTTAGTGAACATTAAAAAAAGTTGAAGATAACCTAATCCCAAAGTTTTTAAAAATCGTTACTATTGTGAGTGAAAATCCGCCATTAGTAGTTATTATGAAAACTAATAATATTCTGACGTTACAAATGTTCCCTATACATGTTAAGTCTTTATAGCATAGGATAGTATTGAAAGTGTAATACATTCGTCTGAAAGTTTTTATTACCTGTTATCTGATAACATGGAGCCGTTGGGTTTGCAGTCAGAAGTTAGCGTTGCATTTCAACCGAATTTACGGAAACATACCCTGTATTTTAATGTGGATGATAATAAGCATTTTATTAATTACACAGAATTTTTAAACAATATTGTCCAATGAATTTGTATGCATCATTACCAAGGTTTGACTTGGTAATTTCGAGTAAACTGAGCATTGGCTAGATTGTTATAAGTAAATTAATATATTTGTAATACTCCATTGAGTAGATAAACTAAATTTTATAATGATTCGTGACTCGTGTAAGTCACTTCTTTAGAGAATAACAAAATTAAAATTAATCCAACTTTAAGTAGCTCTTGTGTTGTTCCTTTGTACTATTTAAACTTGGATTAATTTTAGTTTGTTTATTCATTCTCTGAAGAAGTGACCTACAATAAGTCGCAAAACGTCATGAAATTTAATTTTTCTACTAATTGGGATATTACAAATATATTAATTTATTTATAATGCTGTCCAGTAATCAAAGTAAATAATTACCTTCGTTTAAGTCATCAGTTTAAAAGTATTAAATCGATCTTATTGTTTTTGAACGATACGTATTTCATATTTAACAGTATTTTCCTTTAGTTATTTTAGTGCGCATTCACGTAATTATAGGAACCTTATATTCTTTATTTTAATCATATTTCTGTTCTCTCAATCCATACAGGGATGTAGTTCCATTGCAAATAAGGCTAAGCGGTTTCCATCGTTTTACTCAGATGGACCAGGACCTGAAACATATAATATAGCATCAAAATGGGCGGGCAGAAAACCGAATTCACATAGCCCTCTGCTTTCGGAAAAGGTTAAAAATCAGCTAGCCGGTGAACAACAAGACAGGAGAAAACGGTTAAATTCTGTAAGTTGGTCATGCCATTATGTAAGAATATAAAAAATAGTTATAAGTTGGACAGTTAAGTTAATAAATATTTGTTAAGTACTGGGTGGATTAGTAGTATATTTTTAATTTTCATATTTCTGGTATCATCTATCAAATTACATATTGCGCTTGCCAACTCATGGTTATAGGGTAAACTTGAATTTCATTTAGTAGTAATTTTGATTTTTTTTCTGGCTCAAATGTCAGTTTAAGACTGATATTTCTAATTGAGCCATATGTTTATCACAACTTATCTTGACATCTCTCTGAATCGAAACATTAAGTGGGTTCAATGTAACTAGAAGACAGAATATGAGTCTTTTTTATCGGTTTACAGACACTGAGAAGGTATATATTGTATACAGTTGTTTTGTTTAACTGGTTTAACTGGTTGTTGAGATATATTTGATTATAATAAGTAGACAGTTTATCGAGCCTCCTTTGTGTCAACCAAGCCATAAAATATGTATACCTGTATATGCTTTTTGTACAAAGAAAGTTTGGTCATCTTGGTTTTCTGTACAGTAATAAGTATGTTTTCAAATCAAACGTGACTTTTAAGCTTTCCATTACATTTTCTATTATTTTCCTTCCCATATTTGTGTTCTTGTCAACTTCTTCACTGTGATCTGATATGAGATAAAAAATTTGTACAGATGGATATTTGTGGAAGAACTTAATTTAACCATAATCAGCCATCACAGTTGGCGATGATATCATCTACAAGTGTTTTAAAGGAACAAACATTTTTAGCATCTTATGTAGTTAACTTGCTAATATTGGACACAGACATTTCGGTCAGTAAGGTTTCTAAAAGAGTAGGCATAGGAACACAGATTTGTTGGAAGTATTCACGGTAAAGTGTAAGATGAATTTTAGTGGATGGAAACAGCAAATTTTTGAATTGTAAGGATGAGATAGGATAAAGGTGGTCTTAAAAAATATGATTACGTCAGTTAGTCAAGCGCAACGTGGATCCTGGCATGTGTGCATCGGTTCAAGCTCCTATACCATATAAGCACAGTGAGATAAAACTGTCAGGTTTTATCCTAGAGTAGCAGAAGTAGTAACAGTATTAATGTTTACAGGAAGAATTAGGCACCGGAGATACTATTTGAGAAAATATAAACTAGTCTTCATGGACTGGTTCTGTGTCTTACTTTGGCCGACCCTGACTTTCTTTCATCCTTCTTCTACACCAGCCATCATCTCACTCGATTAAGATTCACTACCTCATCAGTCGACCTGCCATACTTACTTAATACTTTGAGTCTAACCTTAATTGCTAACTTTACAGTGCTAAAATGGACAAAAAATGCTTTGAAGACACTTAGGATCGAATACTATTAACCTAAGAATATCCTTTATTTTTAAATACCACACTTCACAGTCCTAGAGTAGAACGGAATGAACTGGTGCACAGTAAACTCGTTCTTCAGTTAGCAGATGGATATCTCCCGTACTCTACAAGTAACATAAGTTTGCGAAAGCCGTTTACGTAGGGGGAGTGATCGTAATAATGATCTCAAAGTATCGAGTAAATAGAAAACATTCATAGGTTACTGGTATTTAGCCAAAGGTGTCCTCGAAATACTGCTACCATATGTTGGGACCACCAAGTAAGCAGTGATGAGGATTTCAGGTAAAGATTAGAGATCGATTGATGAGGTTATGAATCTTTATCGACACAGATGATTGGGACATATCACATATGCCAAACCATTTCACACCTCGACACGCGATGTTGAGTTACGTGTTAATACGACTAAAAACTTTGCTGTGTGTATAATGCTGTCCTTTCATTTTGTCCTTATTTTCTTATATTTTTCATTGGTTTAATTTGACATGTTTATTTTTCCAAATATCTTGCAAATTTAGTATGTAATCAAATTAATCAGAATACCTTAGGTAATTATCATTCACAAGGCTCTGGTAAACTGCATTTTCTGCTGTATTACTTAAATACTTCAGATACACTTCTGAAAGTAACTTATCTTCGTCTTAATTTGGAGTTTTGTAAATAAGCTGTCTTTCAGGAATATCACAGACCATCATAATATCTTTCCTTGTCAGCAAATGATTTCGACTCCTTAGAAATTTAGGTGATTTTTATAAAGACCCTCAACATTCCTCGGCTTTTGTTTCACAGACGTTATTTTCACTGCTATTTGATAAATAAGGACCGCGTAAAACATGTGATAATTTTACGGATTTGCTAGTGTTTATTTATGATGAGTCGTTGTAGGTCATTTTAGAGTACGTTAGAAAGAATACTTGTTTAATTAAGTAGACTATGAGATTCACTGTTATTTTTGAGAATTGTGAATGATATATTGATAAGTCGGCGTTTATTTTTGGTTGACACGATTTATCTGCTGTTCTTAGTAATATCATGTAAGATTCCGATTTCCGTTATCTCAGAATGTTTATTGTTTAAAGCTAAATTGGATGTTCTTATTCACGGTGAATTCCGTTTCAGTATGAGGTAATCCCTGATGTTCGATTTCGAGATGTACCGAGCATACCTTCTGGTGACTTTGTGCATGGTTACGAAGAGGGTCTAGATGGTCGACTCCACCCCCAATCTGGACCAAAAAGGGATGTAACACTTGGCCCAGCGTTTTATGGGCCTATCAAAGACCCTGTTTTTACGCGGTATAAAGGTTGTGGTTGGTCAAAGAGTGTGAGTCTTGCTTTTCCGATTTTCATAACAATTGAGTTTTTTAAACCGTGCTTTTTAATTGTGATATTCTAGTCTGATCACTCTTTGGTAGTTGAGTAATTCTAGGTTATCCAAGCTTAAATTTTACACTGTCGTACACTGTATATTCTCGTAGGGAATCATAATATTAATTTTAAATTTTATAACATTGATTTTACTAAACAGAAATAGAAGTTGTATAACAACATGAAACAGTCTTATTTAATTATTTTCTTAAAAATTTACGGCACTATTTTCTAATCTTCTACTTTAGCTAAGGGTCAATATTCTTTATTTAGGAAAGTGTGTTTACAAAACATTCTCCTATATTCCGCGATTTACATATAATAATCTACCGCTTAAACGATAGATTTAACCTTAAAAATAAATGAACTATTGTTTAGAAAAACTTTGTTTAATGAATATATAGCAGTAACCATAGTATTTTATATCAAAATAGAAATTTCAAGGGCAGTGTGCTCACACAGAATTTGATGAACGTCACTAAAGGTGTGTATGTAAAATATAGAAAGGCGAATTATAATGTAGTTATAATGGTGGGAAAATCATTCCCTTGTTTTGTAATAAAAATATTTTTTCTCTATATAATTTAAAGTTGGTAATAGTTCAGGATTTTTTGGAGCCAATTTATGGATTACTGCCAACTTCAAGTGACAATACATGGGAATATTTTAAAGTCTTAGTAATTGAGACTGAATTTCCACTGGTCGTTAGAATTAATACTGAATTATGGCCAACAGAATGTATTCAGATGCTTTTTAAAACAAAAACAAAATATCTGTAATTAACTCAACTTGTGACCGAAGGTCTTGGGTTCGAATCCAGCGTGAGGGATCGTGGATTCGCACTGCCAAGGAGTCCCATATTGGGACGAAACTGCCGTTCAGTACTTTCAGGTTTTCAGTGGTAGTCTAACATCGGTCGATTAACAATCTCAAAAACATAACAATCTCCACAACTCCATGTTGATGATTCTAGTTATCATCGGTTGTAAAAAGCTGGTCATTGTAAATTTGTCCAGTCATTTTTTCTATGAGTTACTTTTGTTTTCGGCAACTTTTTCTTCTTGCCATATTGTATTTTTGTTTCTATCATTCAGACTTCAGGACGTCATCTACTACACAGAGCTTCAAATTCAGTTGGTCCAGGACAATATGATCCTTATAATGATCCTTGGTTAAAACTTATTGAAACTGCTAGAGAAAGAAGTAACATTGAGGCTGAACATCCTTTGGCAGTCCCAAGATTCATGGATAAAGTTGTTCATGAATTGCACAAACAAGTATCTTCCTCTTTTATCTAGATTTGGATATTTCATAGTCTACTGACTCTTGATATTTTCTAAGGATAACTTTGTGACGAGGATATTTCTACCAGGTTCTCAGTCATGATTCACAGTTATATTTTAACTGAGTTTACTTTTTTAAATAACATATGGATAAAAAACAATAAAATGATATTTAGGTTAGCTTATTATCTATTGGATAGACAATAGAAAATTCTCCGCAAACTACCGAAGTTTAGCCGTTGATACACAGTTATTCACTGTATGAGTTGATTTGCGAAATTAATTAAAAATATTCATTTAATATGTAATAAGTAATTTTAGCAAATGATTCTTTTTTTCTACGATCCATGCTGCCCATAATATTATTCTTCGGTCTCGTTTATATTGACTTACAAAAAAATTAGAAAACATAGCTAAAGTTTTGTTGAGTGCGTTACTTAACAGATCATCAATCACAGGTTTAAAAGAATCTTTTTTTGGTGGAACTATTTATGATACTTTTAGACATTAAGTAAACTTCATCACAAACTAGTAGCCTTCAGTTTTTTTATTTAATAAACTAACAGTAACAACTTGATTTATTTGTTTGATAGAACTTACTCCCGATTTGTTTGTACCAGTATTGTTATTATTAAATCAAAGTTTTTAATCATACACATATAAATTCGAAGTAATCTGTTGTCCTTACAATAATACGAGACATAACAATCGCAAACTTATTGCTTTAAATTTGGTACACAATATATCTATATCTATATCTATATCTGTATCTATCTCTATCTCTATCTATCTATCTGTCTATCTATCTATCTATCTATCTATCTATCTATATCTATATATATATATATATATATATATATATATATATATATATATATATATATATATATGAGCATGCATTGATTCAGAGAATAGATTATCAACTACCTGACTCGTTAAAATTAAGACGATAATACAACATTGTGACGATGGTTAGGTATTTATATAAGACTGTAGTACTATCAAAACAAACGCTCACTACCTTTTAAATCCATAAGCCCATATTTGTGTCTTTTTTATGATAAATTCGAGAAGCTTAAGATAATGACGTTGAACTATCCCTTTTTATCCTGAAGCAAAGCTATAGGGTCAATGTAGTTTATGGGTTGAGAATAGGAGTGTAATTTGTTGACAATCAAGCGTAATTTTAACTATCAATACTTCGTTATACAAAATATTTTGAAGATCAATGGTAGTTTATATTTACATAATAAGTTCATTGAGAAAACTAATTTATATTCGAAACTATAAATCGTTAATCCCAAACTATTGCTACAGCCAAACTAATCTGTTAAAAATTCCTGGAAACGTAAAAACAAATGTTTTCAGCTAATTAAATAGTAACATAAGTTATTAAATTAGAATAGATGAAATGCGGTTATCAGTGGAATCTAGTATGGGCATTTCATCCTATTTGAGACTAGTCAGCTGGATGTACCTGTATCCCAGTGTTGATGTTCGCTCTGGCATTCCAACTCAACACTTTTAGTTTTGAATGTCTTCGATTTATCCAAATAGTTACTGAGTCCACATAGACTCTCACAAGCCCAACGAGTATGAATTTTAATTCAGTTTGAAATGGTTTGAACTATCACGTTGTTGATGTTTTGACTGAAATTCGATCAGTCTTAGTTGGCATATATGTATTCTGTGCGGATTGAGTCGATATATCCATTATGATACAAGTTTGTATTGAATAGCTTGAACATGTCTAGTAGCGGAATCAAAGACACCTGTTTCGTCCTGTTTGGGACTCATCATATCGGTTGCACAGGTGAGAGGCTATATTATTTATGTAGCTATGTGAATAAGTCGGCGTTTGAAGCAATAGATGTCGAGTTGGAATGCCGGAGTGAACATCAGCTCTGGGATTCAAGTACACCCAGCTGACTAGTCTCAAATAGGACGAAATGCTCATCCTAGATTCCACATTTCATATGTCCTTACAAAGTTGTGTCATAATAGATATATCGAGGTAATCCGCACAAAATGCTTATATGCCAATTTAGACTGATCGAATTTCGGTAAAAATGTTTACAACGCGATAATCCATACCATTCAAATTCAGCAAAATTAGAAGATAAACACATTTATCTTCTAAAACAGTTATTAAATGTTATTTTAACGTATATATAACTGCTATATCATGGCTGTCGGTGTTCACTTATTTTTTAGGTATCTGGTAAGTTCTCGATTTCGATGTAGAACTAAATGCCTGACTAAAAATTGTCTCATAAAAATGATATACACTAAACAGTATGAAATAGAAGTAGTTGAAGATGATTTTTTTTATTTTTCTATTTTATACATATATTACAATTCAATGACAGATTTCGCAAACTTTTATTTGTTACCGATATTTCGAATTAGATTTTCTTTTACTTTTTTTGCCACGCAATAGAACTTCCCTAGTCCCTGTTCATACAACACAAATGACAAGCAAATATCTAAGGCTACTGTGGTGCAAGCGCCTTTTAATACTGAAGAGCAAGTAATTCGTTCTTAATCTTCGTTAAGTTTTTAATTTGGTACAATGCTTACATAATAAATGTAGTGTCAAAGTTTTCTACGTAATTGTGGTGGTTTCATTTCTTGTGGAGAATCTTCATTTCGATATGTCATCTAACTGTTTCATTTTTTACTTCTAAACAATTCTGAATGGAATTGATATCTGTAAACGATATTTGATTACAATGGATTCAGCAGATTTGCTCAGAGTGTTAGTAATGAGCTCTAAGTTTTCGTATCAGTGCTTTAATACCTATTCTTCAACCAAATTTGTGAAAAAAATTAGAAGTGACCATCAGAGTATAAGTGGCGACCAGGTGATTGTAAATAAACCAGCAGTTTTTAATAGTTTAGATAGAAATGCTTGTTCATGATTTGATTAGAAATGATGGTTTCTTAAGCCTAGATACTTCAATCAATTTCTTGTCGTACTGAAAATATGATTTGAAAGAACATGTTTTAGCATGAATTGTTTTTTATAATCAGAGTTTATGTTCAACTTTTTTCTACCAGGTTTATAGGCAACTCATTTTGTTACATGCAAGTGGCTAAGTAGAAGTTTCAAGTTTTATTGATAGAGGATAAAAAATCTAAGCTATGTTGTGTGAAAACATGTGAGACATAATACTTAAAAACCGTTATTGAAATATCTGACTCATATAATCCTTTCATTTTCTTTCTAATAATCTCAAAGCTGGAGGTAGAAAATTATCATTGATTTAACGAGGAACTACTTATGTTATTTTCCTGTTATTAATGTGAGGCAAACAACTTGTATAATGAGTGTATAGAATTATATATCACTTTGACGAAATCATCAGTACTTAAAGACTGAGGTATTTTTTCACTAACTTTCAGAGTCATCAATAAGAAATGTTTATAAAAGGTTTTTCAGGTTTACACATCATATCCATGATATATATAACATTACATTCAGTTTGCACATAAATTTAGTTGTCAAAATAGTTCATACTTCAAGGTAAATCTTCTTATCTTACTACTGTTTATTAACAACTTTTTATGTTTATTTTCGATCATTAATTTGATTTTCCACAGATCAAAAACTTCATTTTATTTCATATTTGTTAAGAGATTCAAAGAGAAAGTTATTGATACACCGGGACCAAACACATATGACCCAAAAAGTGGTGCGATTTCAAGAAGGTGGTTAAGGCGTTTTCAACCTAAACCTTTTGATTCTACGTCTGAAAGGTTCACTACCCAAAGTGACGTAAGACCAGGTGAGTTTCAATATTCCAAACTCTACATCATGAAAGGGATGGACTTTGTAAGACTCAGACGTATAGCTATTTTCAAATAAGTTTTTATCACCATAGATCTATAGAGAACCTATAAAGTCGGTTTAGTCTATTTGATTATTTAGCCACAAATAGAAATCCATTAAGCTATGTTAATTAAGGTGTTCATTTTAATTGGAACTATGATTTTTGTGCCATCTTAAATCTGGTCAAGTTCTAAATGAAACTAACGGTAAGTAGAATTAAACAAATGTTTGATGATTTTGGGGGTCAAGTTGAGAATAATACAATTATATGAAAGGTATTGATTTGTTTTCCTGACAGAAATAACCGTATTAAAGTTTAGAGTATGCTTGATGCTGTAGAAAGTTCCGTGTGATTGTTCTTTTCTCGCTTTAAAAATGTGAATGCTGTAAGTATATTTTCTGATTAGGAATTTCATGCTATCTTACAAAGTTCTTAGGGTTTTGATGTAGATGTTTACAGTTGTCCATATGATTAGTCCCTGAGTGTTTTAGAAAAGCAGATTACTGCTATGTTAGCTTTTATGAACTGTTATAAAAAGGCAAAAATTGACATTCCACTATTCAGTTTATAAAAAACTGATCTTATCTTGTAAGTACCTCAGAAATCAAAAGAATGATTTCTAAGTCCTTTCACTGAAGTTCATGGAAAACGTAATTCGGTCTGCAGCATATCAATAACTTTTCAGAATTTATCTCATGTATTGACCTTTTAGTGGCCCATTGATCTGATCCCGCTTTGATCAGGTGATGATGTTAACGAGCAAAAAAATGTCGGCTACTAACACATATAATTATCGATTTAATTCGCGTTAGAGAATAATGAAATAAAATAAGTCAAATACGAGAATAAATTTTGGATTTTTGGGTGCACCATGCATTCATTGATTCAGACAGACAATCAAAGAAAAGAAGTAAAGAAGCAGACCGGAGAAGACAAGTGTGTCGATTCCATTCGGTCAAGCCTGACTCAATATTAGTAGTCAGACAAAATAAGCTAGACATGTGATCAATAAGATGAGCAATGGACACATCTACGCTCATACAAAAACAACAAGGGTTTTAAGTGATTAATTTACAAGGTCAAAATGTGAATCAAGAAGAATGAACAAATTGGTCTATCCGGAAGCTAGAAGAACCCATGTAGGCTTGGCATGGACACCACAGCATATATCATCTGGTGTGAAATAGCTAGTGGAAGGACATGAATATCTTTGAGATGATTTTCATCAAAATGAAGCCTATTCAAAATTTGAGCTAACGATTTCACAAGTTATACTTAGAGTACATATATGATGTCAGAAATCACCAAAACTTCAATTTTAATCTCTATGTTGTATACACACGCAATTTTTCAGCGAAATGATTTTGTTACTGAGAATTATTGAGTAGTTAAATAAGGTTACTGAAATTTTCAAGATTAAGTGTCCTTGTTATTTGGTGAAATTTTATTAACCTTTAGTTTGTAATTATTGAACGATCCTCTTGACCTTCTCCGTCAAAAGAAGTTAAACTCGATTTGAGTTTGCTTCGATCATATCTAATTGCTCACGAGATGACTCTGATGTTTTCAGTCAATCAGAACTTTAACTATCAATGTTATATTTATTAGTCTGTCATTATTAATAATGTCCTTTTTGCCATAGTTATTTATTTGGCTTTATTATTATAGATTTTTCTGTCAGTGTAAGTAAACTTTTTCTTCAAAATTTTGTTAAACCGTTTAATAGTAACTAATTAAACATGAGAATTTATAAATGGTTTTCAACGTCCATTAGAAGCATCTAGAGTATTTTTGTCCATGGAATTAAAACTGAGCAGTTCAAGAAAATTTGGCACTAGATACTCTATTTCGACCTTATGATCAGTGCAACACTCAATGAGAAGTTCTTGAATGAAGTAAATTAGTGAATGTACCTAGTAAAAGTATGACGCAACTTGTTAAGTAGGCGTAGGAAAGAGATTTTAAGATCATTTTATTTAATGAGCTGTGATTGTCATCAAAAAATGTAAAGAACCTCTAGGAGGGGTGAGCTTCCTTATGTCCCTAACCTCCCGATTTTGATAAGCATACAAAGTGAGATGTAGCACTCGGTTTTTGTGTGGATGTTTAAAGATTGTATTCAGCACATAGATACTGGTATCTATTATTATGATAGCTTTCAGTCCTAAAAGTTTTAAACAACGTTGTATCGAACAGCAGTTCCCTTCCAGATTTATCAAGGACATTTATTTTTATTGAACTCATCCACTTTTTGGAATGACTGGCTTGTTGGTACTACTCAGTTATTAAATGCTTTTCCACAATCTACTAATTATGTTTTAGTTTTTAATGAGGGACGTTTTATTAGGAATTTTATGTCACTTACCTGTAACTCTTTGAGTGAAGTTGGCTTAACCATACTCAGCCTATTCATTCGATTGTCCCTGGATTGGAAAAGTATAATGTGTCATCAACTGGTCCATTCTGATTTCTGTGGTCCAGTTATTTTACCAATTTTATGTTCCTTACTAATGACTGTTGAAGATGGTGTCAAAAGATTATAATCATGTAAATAAAAATCTTCATATTCTTCATATTATAGTAAATAATAGGTGATCTTGAGAAAACCATTTCGAAATCGTTGGATATACAGAGGAAATACAGTTTTTCATTTGGATGAAAGGAGATACATACAATCCATCCATTGCAACTAACTTTTCATAAAGCAGATTATAACAGCTTGTTGTTATAGTAAATGCTTTCCCGTGGTGATGACGCTTACTAAATAAAAATTATGATACGCAGATCAATTTGCAAAAAAGATAAGGTGATGCTTTTGCAAGAGTCTATGAATTTACACGATGTTTTACGATAATGGCTTGATATTAAAGTAAAGACTTGTGGTAATAGTTATGTAGAAATGAAACCTAAAATCGTCTTGACCAAAATAAATAAGAGAGAACATTTGGCTACTCATGAGTAGTTAATTATTAAAAATATTAAACTTGTGTCAGTTGTCCTTCGTTTCTGAAAAACAAATAGCCTGAATCAACAAAATAGGTGAATAACTCCAGACTGTCATTATTTCTCTAGGTGAAGGTAGTAAATGACTACATTTTGCTTAGTTACTGACAGTTTAAATTTATAGTTTTAGTTGATTTAAGCAACTGAATGATTGTAATTTTGAAACAAAAGGATATGTAGTCCACCTAACAAGGTAGCTCCAATACCTTATCCAAAAATAAGTTGAAAGACTTTAGATCTCTCTAATTCTATGTGATTTAAAAGCGCACAACAAAGTATTGAAAACACACAGGAATCAATGAAGGAAATGATTCTTTAGGATGAAGATATGACACTAAATTATTGGATCTTGGTGAAAAGGCATCAAACAACAACTGAATTATCAAGATGACTTGACTTAATTTGTTGGTTTTTTAGATTTTAGAATAAACGTTTTTCAGTCATTTGGAGTTGTCAACCTCTGCTCATCAAGTAAATAACAAAGGATTAAAGTAAAATCACATAGGTAGATTTGAAGTTTACTCTCAAAAAAGTACCTTTATTTAGTTTTGGTAGTTAACACCAAGATATTTTGAGGAAATCTGTCTTGAAATTGAAATTTCAGTCACATTGGTCTAAGTGTGGTTGAATTGACGATTCATTTTAAAAATTAATATGGGTTAGTCATAAATAGCAACTGAAACAATGGAGACTTGTGTTTTGGTTAATTCTTAGTGATTTACTGTATTTCAAAATACACTTCTTAAAATTAGAGACTAAACAACAAATCATTAATACATCTATGAGTTAAAATGTATTTGTTAAGTTATTTATAATATTAAAAGCGTGAAGACATTACGATTGTACTGTTAGATATGTCATTAAACGCTTTATCCAGTTACGTTTCAATAAAATCTTCAAATTATAGAACGGAAATCATCAAATTAAATAAAACACTTGTTTTTATCTGACACTAAATTTTCTTGTGCTGAATTACTTTAAATGTATGTAAATTCGTTAGCTAATGTATATCATGGAGTTTTATAATTTTATCTAATTCAGTATACCTTAACAAATACAGTTATGATATTACTTCACTTACCAAATACAAGTTAAGTATCAGAAGGGGTTTTTGCTAAGAAATTATTTATTTTTTAATCCAGTTATAGCAGATAGATAACACGACAACTTAATTTCATATGTTAATAAGCGATTTCATAAGAATGACATTTTTGAAATTTTTACTTAACTAGCTCTCGGTGTACTGTATCCATATGTGAATAACACTGTTTATGGTAAACATGTCTATCTAGGTATTTCATGTGGGGTAGAAAGTGCAAACTATAGGTTAGCTCACCTTCCTATCAGTTTAAATAAATAATTCTGTTTCTGAAAATAATTTTAAAGTCACTTAATGGGAAAATTTTTAACTTCGTAAGCACATCCAGTAGTTGGTTACAGTAAGAAAGTATTCTGGCTCATGGAGTTATGGTTGAAACATATGTATCAGCCCTACTTCTCGTGGGAAGCTAGTTATTCATCGCATATAAAGTTATAACAAAGAGCCCGGATCTATATGACTTATTCACTGCGTAATTACTCTTTTTTGTTGCTTATATTTATTCAGTGTATAGTAGTAAAGATCAATAAATATGATGAAAGATATTGTCATGCTTAGAACAGCAGCACCCGTGCCAAAATATTGCTTTTAATGATTTCGTTTACTTAGGTTATACTGTTAAATTAAAATAACTTTAGTATTTTGTTATGCCAATTATTAAACCACAAGTTTTCGTCTGAAGAGTAGTAAAAGGGTAATTCAGCAAAATTTAAGCGGTTCTAATTGTTAAAATAACAAACTTGTGAACATGATTTTCAACAAAGGATATAAAAAAACATGAGGTGGTATGCATCGTCGTTGTTTTTATTTTTCTGAGAACCATCGTTTTATTTGATTTATTATAAATCATGAA